ACAAATACGGGTATTCTGAAAGCATTGCCAGTGTATGTTATTACTCTAATTATGAAAGGTAAATTGTTTTTTTACTAGGCAAGAGCAAGCTAACTGTCAATTATGCAAATCCACATTAAAAGTTACCGATATAATTTATATTCCCTGCGAGAAGAGTCACATGTTTTGTGAGAAGTGTTTCAATGATTCTGTTGAAAAACGTGGTCCACGCTGTCCTTCCTGTGATACACCTATACCTCGAAAAAGAGCAAAGGATTTTTCTATTCCTGAAAATAAAAGGTAAAATTGAAGCAATAAGTAATTGCTATAAAGAGTATGGATTTATGTAGAAAAGAGTATGAACAGTTAAAGCAAGTTCAGCAGTACTGTTTAGATTTCTTTATGGAGCTAGTTTCACAGTGTTGCTTCTCCCCAATTGCTCCAGAAAATCCTACTGACGATTTTTATAAGGCATTGCTTGGAATTGTAACTGATACGGCACATGAGGACTACAAAAATCTCTTTCCATTTGAAGAAGACTATACTCATGGTTGTCCAATTGCTCGTTCTGTTTTGCTACAATTGTTACTGGAGTACAAGTAAATAAAACGTATAAATGAAAAAAAATTAAATTTTTTGATGTAGTCCAATCGAAGTGCAAAAAAAGCTGCAGGAGTATCAAAATTATGTTAAAAAAACTTTTGGTAGTGAGTATATTACTGATGACCAAGAACTCACACTGCTGTGTATCAAGTCATTAGAGGTTAAAATGATAAAATTTTAATATCAGTTTTATTGAAATAATTATTTAGGACGGTCTTCATAAAACAAGAGCTAAAAAGGAGTGCATTGATGATGAGCTTAACTTTGGAATACAATGTTTAAATGATGCATTGACTCTCTTAACAGATGGTGACCATTTTAAGGAATATCAAGATAATCTCTCGGTCGAGTTCATGCAGTGTATTGCTAATGTCCGATTTGGAATGTGCTTTGCTGTTGACATTTTCCATCAATATTACTGTTTTGGTTCAGATAAAAGAAATCAATTGCCCAGAGTTACAAAGGAAAAGCTTGAAGAACTTCACAAGTCTATTCAAGATATCATTGGCAAGGGTGTGCTGAAAGAACCTCATCAGTTCTTTGTCAAACAATTTGTGCGGCGGTTTGGATTCCCATATCTCAGTGAGCTTGGAAAATTGGCACAATTTAAATGGCTAAATTTAGAAAAAACTGAAGTATGTCTTTTATTTTGTACTATCAAGTCAACAATATAATTTTTGTTCATAGACTTTTGATGGCTTTGTTGTATGTGGGAAAGAATATACTACATTGAGAGCAAAATGGATTTTTACAACAGCTTCTTTTACAGAAAATGATTTAGTTGAGGATTTGGAAAAGGTACACATATTATTAAAGCCAGAATTTTTTCCAATTCACTATAGGATGAAAGTAAAACCATTTTCAATAAAATTGCTTCTAGTTTAGTATTTTATCGGCACATTGCATCTGATTCATCCAATACTACGGCATTAGGACACAAGGTAAAATATTATGCTAGTTGATTACTAACCTTTTTTGCAGGACTTATTTTGTAGCCATCAAAAAACTCAAAAATTGCTGTCACATGTATGTTTTACTGATATGTGTATCTCTACTCAAAATGATTCAATAAATTTAGGTTTTTAATGATGGGTATTTTGTTACGGCTGTTATATTCAACCCAAGAGAACCAAAAACTGCAAACAGTATAGCTGCAGTTGTTGTACAGTGGATTTCTGTTCTTGAAACTAGAATTGATAGTAGTCTATTTGCTCCATTTAAAGACATTTTGCTTCAAACTGCAAATGCTAAAGTGAAACAATAGGATGATTTAACTGATTTTATTACTAATATTTTTATAGGAAATGTATTGGCCAACAATGGATGACAACATACTGGATATAGTAGTTGATGCTACTGCTGGTACTACTGACACATGGTGGAGTAAGTATTTGCCCATTATTTTATTTGACATTGTATTGAATACTATAGAATGCCCTAATGGACATGATTATTTTGTGCAAAATGTAAGCTAATTAATTCATCAATAATAATTTAATTAAAAGTATAACTTCAGTGTGGTCGTCAAGTTGTTGGAGATGTTCAGAAATGTTTTTGTGGTGCTGAAATTGGAGGAAAATCATACAATGTAGCTAAGGAAGGAAACGTTAAAATTGAAAAGTAAGTGTTGGCCAAAATAATAAAATTTAGTTGTGTCTAATTAAATGAAACAGAAGTGGTACGGAACTTACGAAGACAGGCCATGTGCTTGACCACCCTAATGCTAGATCAACTGATCCTGTGCCTCAAAGAGATCTTTCTCCTTTTTCTAACTGTATCATCAGATTTCTAGTGAATGCTACTTGTGTTTGGATAGCTAGTTCTAATAATAAAGTCTGTGCTAAAATTGTGATGTGCTTTTAATGACACTTCATAGGCAGCGTGTCAGATGCTTTTTGATGTTACTCTAACTTCTGAGCCAATTGAGCTTCACCAGTTGTTGAACTATTTCTGGCATCATCTTGAATTAGATATACAAACACTGCGTAGAGCTACACAACACAGTTTTGACGATTGCATCCTACTTCTGCATACAATTGTACACAATATGCTAAGAGGAAACTACGAAACAATAATTGGTGAGATATTAGTCAATTTCTTAATTCCATATCATTTCAATAGATTTTGATATTAAGCTTCTCTCTCGTAAAGACAGACAATGCTGGGAAAATAAATTCAATCAAATTGTTATTAAACCAGTACATATGAGATTAATATTATCATTCACTAAATTAATGCATTTTTATCATGCTTTAGAACATTGAAGTACAAACAGAAAAGGGAAAAGACTACTTAATTGATCAGCACATTGAAAGAGGAAGACAATTAATAATTGAAGATTCCAATTTAGGTAATGCAAGCTAGGTCGAATATTATTAATGCTAAATATAATAGACCATAGAGCATTGTTACAGATGGTTTATGAGACAGTTCCTATAACAAGCAACAGTATAATGCCACACTTGTGGATTTATCGGCCACTGATTACTATTGATCACGTCTCACTTTCTCTTGAAAAAGACACTGAATCTGCTGATCTGAGAATATTGAGGCAGTTCCTCAAACAAGTATGACAGTTAATTGTTTAATTATTTTTGATACACTAAAGGTTAAATTACTTGAAGCTTTGGCTTGTCTTCCTGATATAATACGACTCCAACAATTTTTGTATGAAATGTGTCACCTTCGAATTGATGAGACTGAAGTAGATCAATCACTTGAAGAGTATATTAGAAAAGGATTAATGAGAAGTATGATGTCACAAAATGTTTTAAAATGCTTATATTTATGACAGCTCATAAGCAGCAAAAGTTGTTGGCTCAAGCTGAAAACCTTTGTACTGCTTGGAACAAAGTCAAAAATGAGCTACCAAGCTTGAGTAAGAATGCAACTAATGTGATAGATTGTTTTACTTTGTCTAGTGAGTGTTGCTGTACCAAAAGAATGCATTTCTGTAGAAATGAGTCTAAAGCAGCCTTTAGAATTTTTCATTCCAATGAGACAAGGAAAAGGAGTTTGTAGTTTAGCTTTAACCAGTTATTTGGCAAAATTACAAAATGATTTTATTGACTTTTCATGGGAAAAACTTAAAGTTAAATCAATGTTAGTTTGTATAATTACAATTACTGATAAGCAATGATCTCATTTTTAGCCGTGGCAAACGTCACATACCATCGCATAAAATCCAAGACTGTCATATGATATCTTTTAAAGATCAGCTGTCACACGTAATATTTTCTCATTGCAAGTATTCTCTCAAAGCGGGTCATGGTGCGGATATCAAATATGATTTTCCTGCACTGGAAAAGCATATCCTGGATCGATTTGTTCGAGGGAGACCACTAATAACTTGTGACATTCCTCTAGTGTCATATCGTAGTGATGTATTGGATGCTGTGATCTTCAGACAAATACGAAGAAACATTCCACAAGTACTTACATATATAAACTAATGGTATGCAGCATTATTTTTATAATAGGAAAACTTGCCTCAAAGAGAAAAGGCTGTCATTCTTAATGACCTTCAAAAGACTCAGAGGGTGCAGCAATGCATTGATACTGTAAATGTTGCTCTAGGATTTATCCAGCACACAAGAAGTAACTCACAGCTCCTTATGAAACGGTTCATGTCAAGTCTCAAGATGGAAGGAAAACTGCCTAAATTAGTACAGAAAAAGTAAAAAAATTTTTGATGAATAATCATTAGGTGGAAGAACGATGTGAACTTCGTCATGCTATTTCACTGTGGCGTTTAGTTAATGTAGAACAAGCTAAACAGATTACTAATGGAAATGAGGTAATGAAGACTTGTTTCATTGAGATGAAAATAATTAATAATACTTGTGTACAGGATCCATTTCCTAATATTAATGACGTTTTTAAAGAACGTTTGGATGACAAACTAAAGGAAGTGTTACAAATTGCATTAGGAACTTATGATATGGACCAGTTCTTGGAAGTATTTTATGAGTTTATTGTGACACAAGTTAAAAGCAGAAGGGAATATGAAGCAGATGATGAGTAAGTCTTTTGTTTTACTATAGACTGACAACAATTGTTATAAAACATACAGGTTGATTGAGGCATACATTGATGTGTGTGATTACTTTGATTTGGAGAGAATCACAAGTTTTGCTGAAAAGTTTCCCAAAGAATTCTCATTGAAGCATGTCACTGAGATATGGAAATATGCTGTTAAGTACCAGCGAGAGCAAATTGCCAAACAACTATGAAACTTATTTTTTTGTAAACTTAGATCTAGTAGTTAGTATTAATTATGATAGTCTATTTTGCTGCATGATTATTTAGTTTTGCTGCTTTGTTATTGCTGAATAGTGATTTTGCTACTTATAAAAGCTAATTTATTAGTTAATAATAAAGAATTGAAGGAAAATGTTAATTACTGAGTAATATATTAATATGGAAAATGGCTACCTTACACTTATATTCCATATTCTGTTCTGTTGTTTTGTTGCCATAAAGCAGGAAATTTTCATTGCCAGAAATTTTTATTGTTTGCCTTACAAGATATTTTCTTGGATTTTATTCTCACTGGATTAACTTTGTCAACTATTATTCACCCAGTCATGCCCACATGGTTTTAAATTTTTACTGTCAAAAATTTTTGTTCAGAACTTTGGCCAACAAGCAAGCCAAAGTTAGCACTAAACAAAAATTTCTTGCTATACAATATTTCACATGATGTAGAATGTAGATTCAAATGACATATGGGTGTGGCTTTAATTGATCAAATTATTTAATTGAGTGGGTGTTATATGTACGTGTGTATGGACACTAGGCAGAAAAATGGTATTGCACATGGTATTGGAGATTAAAATCTTTTTGAAAAAAGCTAAATTAAAATGATATAAAGATTCACTACTCAGTCATTAAAGCCTGACAGAGCTACAAGAAAAATAAGGTCTATCCAAATAAAAAAGTATAAAAGTATATTTTTTGGATGTTGGTCCGGCAGCCGGACGCTTACTTCAGAGCTATAGATCCGGCAGCCCCTATCTAGTATAGACCCCTTTAGGCGAGAATTAGTTTGTGATACCGTATATACAAAGAAATAATATTGAACGGATTTTTGTCCGCCATGTTTTACGTCAAAGTTATGCAGAGTTCCAATGGCTGATGTGCAAAGTAGAGCTGTTTTGCCAATAAAACTTTTGTTGTGCTGAACTCAGGACTATGAGAGGCTTCATATCAACTGTTCTTTACTATAGCAAGATATTTTGAAGACTTAAGAAGTCTGGGAGAGCCAGAACGATCAGTTCTTGAGGCTCTCCGTCTGTCACAGCCCAAAGAGGAAAGCAGGCTCATACAACAAGAGTATTGCACTATACTTCCTAGGTTGGCTCTCTTGGCATCTTTCTTGACTCTAGAATAGTTTTTAGCTTCAAAATGTAGTGACCAAGATCTCCAGGACACAGAAAGCACTTGCTGCATGACGTAAAACATGGCGGCCAATTATTGTATGTGGGCGTATACCGTAACTGAGATATAATGATATTCATTGCAAAATTAATGATATTCACAAGCTGTTACTTCTCGCCGAAAGGGGTCTATACTGGGGCTTCGCCCCAGTATACTAAATACAAGATTTTATATACAGATATCAAGTATAAATAAATAAAAAAACATTAAAAATGGAAA